ATTAGTGGGTCTCTGCTCAATAATCTTTTATTAGCTCTTTTTGGATATCATCTATAGGATCCAATAATTCAGAGGCTTATCACATCTGCAACGAATTACAAATATGATAAGTACTACTAGTATCCAATACTCATGTATTATCACAAGAATCTGACAAATAGAGACTAATCATGAATATATCTGAAGCTTCTCCAAACTTTTGTTTCGCCTTCTCTGTAAGGTATTCTTTGTAATTCCTCTTCCAATGCCTATCTTTTCTATAGTGGAAGTACTAGTCTTTTTCTTTTGTTAGGTCATTTTTAGTAACCATTGCTTTATCCCGTTTGCCCTTGCCCTTGCCTTTCTTAAGGGACTTCTCTATCTTCCTTTACTTTCTGGTCTCACTAGTACTGAGAACTAGCTTCTTTTTCTTGATAGTGCTCTTAGCCTCCCTCAACATATCGAGGAATTTAGGGAGAGTCACCTCAAGCTTGTTCATATTAAAATTTATAATGAACCGAGAAAAGGAATTTGTAAGGACTGAAGCACAAGATCCACACAAGTTATTCTCTAGACCATTCCTAGGCTTGTGAGTTTCTCTATCCACTCAATCATCTTAAGGACATGGTTTTAAACCGATGTCCACTCAGTCATCCTAGCACGGAAAAGACTCTTGGATATCTCATATTGTTGAGTTCTTCCCTATTCCTTAAACTATTTGTAGTTATGTAGGTGAATGGATCTGACATCCATCTTTTCATGTTGTCTTTATAACTCGAGAGTCATAGAGCCCAATATGTAACACTAAGCAAGAGTGGAGTCATCTATATACTTCATGTAGCAAGCGATCTCATCCTCGCTTGTCCCTTCCTCGGGCGTAGGCATCATTGTATCAAGGACATACACGATTTTCTTCGTTGTGAGAACGATTCTCATGTTGTGAAGCCAATCTATGTAATTTGGACTAGTGAGGTGATTGATATCAAGTATGCCACGTAAGGGATTTAAAAGCGATATATTTCTGATAAACATAATATGTAGCATAAATAAAAAATATACAGATTTTATAAAAAAATAAATAATCAATATATGAATTTCTACTTGACGTGCTTCCACTATTTTTCTAGCGAATCACGTGATACCCTCAACACGTGAAACTAAAGTCTTCGGTAGACTTCTAGTGGGGATCGGGATCTAATCGACATCTTAGTGTAACATCGAGGGGCTCGACCAAACACACTAAGCCCAAAAGGTAGGTAACTCTTGCCGATTATATCTATTTATGATTCTCATCCTATTCGGCCTTCGAACCACCATGGTCTCAAAGGACTCAACCAACTATGATGTTCGACTAAGTCATCACTATCATTACAAGATGAGTCGGATTTGATGATATGCTCTCGAGGGACTTGACCAAGCATACCACGTCCTTAGGTTATTGGCTATGTCATAAGCAAGATATCGAATTGCGATATAAGTGAGCCTCGAGGGACTTGATCAGCTCATCCTATGTTAGGAATTGATTTCTTCCTATAATAATGGAGGGTCATGTGGGTCAATCTAATTGCCTCACGTTTACCAACTTAATATTATCGAGAGAGGAGATTTTGATTCAGTCTCCGTGTCACATATATACATATTTAATATATATCTGCTAGTTATAGGTGCCTTACAAGCCAATTATGTGAGTGATGACATATGTGACATGACATATACTCTTTTTGCTTATTATTATTATGATATTTTCTCACTTTATATTGCTTGATGTATAAATATATTGTGATGTCCATGAATCTATACAATGAGAATCAGATCGTGATGAGATCACGATAATGAGACTGATTCACCTTTAAAAACATACCCTAAATAATCTTGGTCATAGGTTACTCGAGAGGGACATCGAGATAATCGGATAGACTAGTGTGTTATTTACCCGTTCATATGATGGAGACAGTTGGTCTCGTAGCTGCTCGTGTGGGAACACTAGGTCTACAGTGCAAGTGCTCATTGGAGAATAAGTTCACTGATTGATTTGCTCATGAAATGCTAGATGGTTGATGATACCTCATTGTCAAACAATAATTTTATCGCCTCAATGATTCTATCGCTCATGTGGGAACATATGTGATATTCCTCTCACGAAATGCTAGTCGATCATCGGGAGTGACAACTAATCTTATGATGGCTATTGAGTATCGATAAAAGATCATCCACTTTTGCTATTATAAGAAGAATATCACATATGTTCTTGTTCAAACAAATCCTTAGCCAAGGTCATTCGGATTGAGAGAGAAAGAGTTCTATGGGAGAATCCGATTAGAGCGAGACTTGAGGAGAAACCACATGGGTTTGACACACCATGCCTAGTTTACAATCTCTAGGATATTAGATGGATGAGGGATTATAGGTACATGTAACTGAGGACAGATAGATCCAAAGGATTGGATTCCCTTATATCGTTTGTGGACTGTGACATAGTAGCTTAGTACGTCCGCAATCGATGACTCGAGTGAATTATTATAGAGATAATAATTCACTGAGCCAAAATAAGTTCTGACATGTATGACTCACGGCCAGCTCGATATTGGGCCTAGAGGGTCACACACATATGGTAGGTGTTGCGATGAGTAGAGGTTCGGAGATGAGATATCCGCTAGAGCCCCTATCTTTTTGGATATCCATTAAACCCCTAAATTATTGGATCCTATATATAAGATCCAATAAGTGCTAATAAGAGATTATTAGATAGGGATCCACTAATCTAAGAGGCTTGGGTAATTAGATTGAGATCCAATACCCAATAAGATAGGATCCATTAGGATTAAGTTGATAAGGGACCTCTATAAATATGAGAGAATCAAAGGGCCATATGCTATGCTTCTTGGTTACCATATCATATTCTCCTCTCTCCTTCTCTCTTTTAGACAGAAGGTGTGGATATTTGGGCAGTGATTCGAGAAGCGTCTACGTAGCCTTTGCTGTGTAAATCACCGCTATAGAGGAGGACAATTGACCTCCTTCATCATCTACCATAGATATGAGATTTTAGGGATACATGATCTCCCTAGGTAACACAACTATCTTATACGTGGTTTTCAATTTTATAGACTTTTGCGCAACAATCTTCGCACGATGATGAAACATTTTTGTAAAAATTTGGGATTTTATTTTCTGTTCTTCCATCGCGCATGTGATGTCCCTTGGATTTTCATATAATATCTATATCGCATGTAAAAATATATACATATCTAGTAGGTGTATAAGTAATCACACATCATATGAGCAATTATATCAAATGATCATGAACTATAGCCTAATGTGATTTTGGACTCCAATAGAAATGGCTAACAGTATTTGTAATAATAGAAGGAAGTTGACATTAATGATAAACAATCACTATGACTTACATTGATAATTAGATTTAGTATGATATTATGTTTATTAAATTTGTTAGCTTATTTTATAAAATTTATATGCATATGTAAAATATTCTTTCAAAGTTCAAAATCTAATTAAGTAAAATTATTTTCAAATAGCTTTTATTTTATTTATTTTAATTTTAATTTTTTTCTATGTTATCAATTAATGATCAAATGAGAGAATATTAGATTATATGATTTTATCTAATTATGTAAAATATATTATACATATAATTGGATTCTAATTATCCTTATCGATCAATAAAAGAATTTCAATTATAGTAGAATTTCTTAAAAGATGACATGGAATGACTTTCTAAATTATTTATTCTAAACCCTCTATTCTCATTTATAAAAAGGATAAAATCTTCTAAGAATAAAATTTTTTTTAATTAATTATTGAGATATTATGAATCTTCTCTCATCTTTCATTTATCCTTAATCCATTATGATAGAAAGACAAGATATGAGTTCAGATAGATATGATAATTTTTGGAACTGATAAAGATATTTTTTATGAATTAAATATATATTTTTAATAATATTAATTATATATATATATAATAAATTTAATATATTATTATTTAATTTTAATGTATCCCAAACTGTAATTCCAAGTTTGATCGGCAGGAAATGGCGTGGCTGTGAAGCTTCCTATGTGGTGTGGTGTCTTTGTCCCATTTAGTAGGCAAGCAGCCTTGTCATATGCTCTGGCATTGCATGCCCATCTTTAGGTATCACCCATCCAACCACATCCACATCATAGTTCTGTCGCTTTGTCTGTTTCGTGGAACCTTATTTTTTATTCTCTTCCTATTATTTAAAAAAAGCTAATTCATTCTACTAATCATCGAAAATATCGTAAGCTCATGTCTTCTTATGAATGAAAACGTTTTGTGATTAAAATAAAATTTTAAAGTACCAGTTAATATTTTATTTAAAGTAATTAACTGAACTCTTGTAAAACACCTTTAATACAGAATTGATTCTTAATCAATGTGAATTTTAGCACGTGTCGGGTAAGATAAATATTAGAACACCAACGTGGATCTCATGTTTCCACTTGTGGCGACGGACGTGACAGCTCCGCTCCGCATACTAAAATATTAGCTCCATCTTCTACACGTGACTCCATCGGGAGAGGAAGCAGATTCCCACGTTTATCATTTATTTCCCTCTCTCGACCGGCCATCCGCCTAACAACGAAATTACACATATACCCCTCCACGGTTAGATATTTTGTAGACACCCCTATATTTTTAATCTTAACATAAATATCTTATTATTATGCTTTTAATTAAAAAAAATGTAATGAGTATAATAAATAATATTTTAAATATTTTCCTTTCTCCTTTATAATAATTTATAAATTTAAGATTTAAAATTTAAATATGATGTATAATTTATTATAAATTATATATCATAATTTACAGAGTGGCACATACGAAAATTTTAAATATTTAAAGGTTATGTATTTAAAATCTATCTTGAGAGGGCTATATGTGTAAAATACTAAATATAATATCTCTGTTAAGAATCAATGATTCTCCTTTATCGTTCATTATTTCCTCGTGTTCTGAAAGCCGCCGCTGTTATAAATGCGGAAGGCGAGTGGGGAAAGGGGAGACGGTGACCGAGTTGGGTTGGGTCGATCGAGCGAGAGAGGTGGGCAGATCCGCGCTTGTTTCGGGGGAGAGGAAGAGTGATCGGTGAGACATGGCGGAGAAGCAGGAGAGGACCAACTTCGCGCTGACCTGCAGTCTACTGAGCCTGTACATCAAGGAGAAGAAGGGGAGCGTCGCCGACCTCGGGATCGGGATCGCGATCGCCCCGATTGCCGCCAAAGGTGAGAGCTCGGTTCGATTTCGGTGATGCGGATTTGAGGCTGTCTCCGATTGATGCCTTTTGGTTTTCAGCTCGTTTTCCTTGTAAATATCGATCGGGTCGCGTCAAAGATGTGGCCTTTCTTGCTCTTGGCGTTCCAGATCCGACGCGATTTATCGTTTTGATTGACCTAATTTTGATTCATTCCGTAGGAAAATCAGGGTTGTTTCGACCGCCGACTACCGTGAGTTGGTTGCCGGAGAGCGACATCTCGAGCGGAGCTGGCGGCGAGAGGAGAACGGAAGGGGACGAAGTTCCCCAGGGGAACGCCCTGGAGCTGTTTCCCCAGCGTGTTGGTTTCGGCCCCGCTGCGTCGGAGGATGTTAGGTCTCAACTCTTCGCCCAAACTCTTCTCTATCAGAAAAAGCTCTTCTTTTGCATGATCAGCTGCCCTCAATCGATCAAATCTATCCTCTAACCCTTACGCACACGCACGCAATTAGAAGCTTTAGATTGTAGAACACGTAGATGTCATCATAATGTGGTTTGTCATCGGCCATTTGAGGTGATGTTCGCATATTTTGGCATTCATCTGCTATGAGAAGCCTGAAGGTGACAAATGCTCGTACTGCAGGGATGCGGAAAGCGCCCCACTCACAATCTTCTATGGAGGAAAGGTGTCGGTGTTCGACAATTTCCCGGCCGAGAAGGCCAATGATCTGATGCAGCTTGCGAGCAAGGGCAACTCAACCGCACCGAACTTTGGCTATGTGCCCGCTTCCTCAAGCTCGGCTATGTCAAGTTCGACAGCCCTTTCGGATCAAAATCCGACCTTGCCCAAATCTGCAAACGCTTCATTGGCTTCCCATGTCCGTCTGCCCAGATCAGCACAATCTGGCCTTTCTGGTATTGATTCCATCTTTGATGCTAAATCGAGAGTTTTAGCTTCAGAAATCTGCAGGTCCTTGATCTTGTTGTTGTTCTGTCGAACTGCAGATCTTCCTATTGCTAGAAAGGCTTCGCTCCAGCGATTCCTCGAGAAGAGAAAGGATCGGTAGGCAATCCTTGCATCATGATTCGCCAGTGAAGAGGAAATGTTGACTGTTTCAGCTGATTTAATCGGTTAGCCTCTATGTGAATTTTGCAGGATCAATGCAAGAGCACCGTATCAAGTCACTGCCTCCACCGGAATGGGAGTACCTGTCGAGCAAGAAGGCAGCAGAGCATGGCTTGGATTGGGTCCTCGGTCCTCAATTGCCAGCCTCACAAAATGAAGTCAAACACAGATGCTATCCTGCTTGAAGCCAATCGATCACTCACAAGTTTGGACTACTTACTTTTTTTTGAGGAACTTGCGTTCCTTTTCTAAGAAGATCTTTCGATGTTGTCACCGACAGACTTAGATCTCAGAGTTATTCTGAAACTGTAGCTCATGCTTCCATATAGGAATCATGGGGGAAATATGTATGTTTGAAATCTTAGTAGCAGGAGTGTTGTTCCCCTGTCATAGTACCCGAAACAAATCATGGCTGTTCAATAGAATTAACTTTTTAATCTTAGATATGTTGCAAACTGGAAAGACAGCTCTACTTTTGTTTGATCTTTGTTTGAGTGTCATCTTGTGCCATATGTTGTCAATTACAATAGATAGTTTCTCTCAAGTATGGAAAAAAATTGAATTCCATATTTTTATCCAACTATAGTAGAAGTTGTTTGAACATAGAATTTGCACACTGTGAATGAGGACTTTACCCATTAATGATGAATCTTTTGAGTAAATAATGAGAAATTCTTGAACATAATATTGTTTCCAATGCAAAACTCATTTCATGCCATTGATGATCAACTTCTCACACTATCTTAGCAGTAGTTTTTGAATCTATTTATCTGAAGAAAGATTGTGTTTTTGCATCCAGAAGGTGATTAATCTTCTGAGAGGAGATTAGCAGGTGATAAGCTCTAACTCGACTTGTCATGTTTTGTGCATGTGATTGGATTCCCCGTTCCTTCTTTCTGTTCTGTCGGTCATACTGAGACCACAGTCAATTAAGAGGACCAACCAAACTCCATTATTTAGGCGATGCCCTGCCCTGCCTCATTATTTATTATCTTCATCCTTGATGCCAACCAACCATGTCTGACAAAGACTTTGAGCATCACAATGCAGAAAAGTCAGCACCTTGGGGGTTCAAAACTATAAATGAACATGTGGTTGCTGAGGGTTATCTTGTCACATGAAAAAGGCATGAATGAAAAAGATAAAAAATAATAATTTCACTGTATATTAATTTCATATAAATTTCTCGCTCGTACGGAGGCTTTTCGCACAAACAAAGCTAAATTCTTCGTTGATATAACTCGCTCTTTATAGATTTCTCTTTTCTTTTTTCGTCTCTATTAGGGCATGTTTTGTTTTGTGGAGAGGGCTTGGGGCATTGCGTCAGGGTTCCCCGGCCACTCCGGTGTGCAATCCTCAAGCTCGATGCGTTTGGATGCTAGAATCAATGCTATTATGAAGTGATGATCGGAGAAGTTGCAGCAATAGCACAAGCAACAGTAGATGCAGTTATAAAACGCACTCTTCCTTCGATCCGTAAAGCAAAGAACGCTTGTTGCCTCCTTTGCTTCTTCTCACCTTCCTCCTATTGACTTGTCTTCAGGCCTCTCCTCCTTAACTTTGTCTGATTTGTCGACGTTCGGGTTCGCGAGGTGCGAGGTGCGAGGTGGTAGGAGATATTCCTTTTTGCGATGCAGGACCGACTGTAGGAGCTAGAGCAATGTGATCATCAGCTCACGTCACCGTCACTGCCTCCATCGACAGTTGCGATGGCAACGTCGAACCAACTCTCTCCTTTGCTACCAACGCGAGGAGAAAAGTACGTGGAAGCCTACACGTTGCTAGTGAGAAGTTTATATGAAATTAATACAGTGAAATTACTTTTTTATCTTATCGATTCATATTATTTTACACATGATAATATTTATTTATTTTTAGACGAAATTAATGACGTGAGAAGAATTAAGATTAAATATTTAACTTTCGTAAATGTAAAAATTCTAATATTATTTTTAAAATAATCTATACTTATCAGTCAAAGTGGCCTAAAAAAACTAGGAACGGCAGGGGAATCGTCCAATTTCCGGTTCCTTATTCCCGCCGGAGGTAAGCAGAATCAAGCAAATCGCCGGTGCGCTTACTGTATGGCATTCTACTGTAAAATAATAATTGGGTTATATAAGCCATCCAAATATCGTCTTCTTCTTTTTTTTATCTCGTCATATGCAGACTCGCCGGTTCGCTTACTGCACAGCAGTCGGGTGTCAAATGGGCTTCAAGAAATTAATATGATCCCGAGTCGTCCCAATTGCATCTGCTTGTTCTCAAAGGTGGTGAGCAGAACCAAGGTTCTTTTGCGCCTACAACGTGACACATCGGTGAACTACCATAACATCGGAGTAGGTCCACAAGGGTAACATTGATTGACCACCAAATCCTGGGCCCAGGATGAAGCCTGCAGGAAGATGGTAGGGTTTACGTTGCCTTTGGCATATAATCTTTTATACCTAATCAACTAATCCAATGATATGTAATCCTCGTCATCATAACAAAGGGGGGAGAGAAGGGAGAGAGAGAGAGAGAGAGCGAGAGAGAGAGAGAGAGAGAGAGGTGG